TCCCTACAATCGTAAGGAAGTTCCCCCTTTATCATTAGCCTCTTTGGGGAACAGGGTCTTGCTCTGCAACTCTCACGATCCTTAACCATCAGTTAAGTTTGTTTCTATAACGCCCACAACCAAGCGCAGCACAATGTATCCCAGAGAGAATTTTAATTTTTCCATAGGAAATCCATTTTCTTCCAAGATGACAACCAAAAAAAAAAAGTCTGCACACTCCAAAACAACCACCCTCCCACTTCCCTTCAGCTCTACATACTCCTTAGTTTCATGGGGGCTGGGATTGGGCACAGCATCGGTCAGACGCAGCTCAAACTCCGCACATCGCAAGTTGGCTTCCTTGTAGTGTTGAATGAGATCGTAGATACTATCAAAGATGAGGTTGTCGGTCAGGTAATATTTCATGACTCCCCCTTCTGAAGAAGAACGGATGCGGCAATGCTGGACACGACCTGACCTCCTTAAAGAAAAAGGGATTGAAAAAAAAGCAGTTAGTAAGGCTGAGGCTATTTCCACACCTATTCTGGGCTAACTCTTATTTTTGTCAATTTGTAAAAATGGTGGCTAATTTGCTGCTTCCTTAAAGAAACAAAACCCAAAAGTAGCAACTCGTACCACTGCAGAATTCGCTCTGAAGGCCCCCTTACTGCTAGATCCATCGGATGTACTGTTACTTACAACGCCCAATTTGAAGAAAGCATGCAAAAATCTTTTACTTCTTCCCCAACAGGGGCATTCTCTATTATCAAAAATGGTCATTTTTACTAGCAGCGATCAAACTCAAGAGACTACCTGCTCAGTTTGGAAGCTGACGATTACACCCCAGCGTACGCAGGGTCAGATTCGGACCTTCAGACCGCACGTTGTAACAAAACCCACAGGCTCCCACTGCTTTGGAGGACTGAAAAGTAAGACCCATCAGCCCACGACAGGCTACTGATCAACAAGCTAACCTCACACAAAACCTAAATGGGGTCTCACGATGTGAGACTGAAATACAGTGGAATTAATCAAAAGTACAATCTTTCCTCACCTGTACCACTAATACTTCACAAATGCATTTCCCAGTCTCTACTGCTCATCTCAGCTGTCATAACACACGCTAAAAGAGTTATTCTTCAGCAATGTGCCTTCCAACTCTATAATCTATGAATCTTGATAGAACAAGCCAGACCCCTGCACGATCAAAGAGCCCGCACCAGCACCCGGGACCGGCAGCCAACGTACCAGAACGACAGAGTGCAGTCATCGGGGAAAGCTTCACTCTCCCGAACAAGGAAAGTGCCGTCCTTGCCCCCCATCTCTGCACAATATTCCTGAAGCAACCTCTCGGCAGTGGTCCTCCCCTCTTTCATTTTCCCATGGAACCATTTCTCACGTAAGTGCAGCTCAGTACGTTTCACGTCCTAGATGGGAAAAAGAAAAAAATGTTCACCATCAACGCACACCAGTTTTCTAGCCTCTTTGAACTTTTGTGACCCTCTGGAAGGAAACGTCCATCTCAAAGATCAGACATATGTTGTGCTGTCCTGGACATGTTGTAGGAGGTCAGGGCAGGGCTGTGACTAGGAAGAGTCCTCTAAAAAAAAACCCAACTCCTCTGAGATAGTTTTGTCCTTTTCCCCAGGTTTTCACAGAATGCATAAAGGCAAATCAGATCTGTTCAGGTTACTTTTGGGCAAAATGTCTTTCGCCTCCCCAGATTTACCCAAGGACTTATGGTCTACAGGAAGAAATGTAAAGAAAATACGTGTGGAAATGGGAGTTTCTTGTTACTAAACTTCGCCCAGAACTTTTTTTTTTAAAGCTACATAGCATAATAACCAAATAACTTACAAATATAATGCATATCACCAATAAAACCACCTTCTATTTTAGCCATAAGGGCTTTACGCCATCACAGCCCTGCATTATATAATGAGGTCCTTCTTCAAACAGTGCTGACGCTAAATCTCTGGAGTCTCCCTAATTCCCCCAGACAAAGCTCCCGCTTTTTCTTTTTTTTTTTTTTAAAGCAGTCACTGATTTAAGCTCTACTCAAAAAGGTCATAGCTGTAATATCCAAGAAAGCAAAACCTTCAAATCTTTATGCTCTGGTTCAAAGATAAAGTGTTCTCTGCTAAGATACAGGATTAGGAGTCAGGACTCGGTGTGTGGATCCTGTAGTACTACATCTATACATGGAATAATATTTCAGCAGATATTTCTGAAATGGCAGAGCAACTTTCTAGTTACTTTTCAGACTCTCTAAAAAAAGCATCCATCTAAAATCAGCTTTGAAACACAGAACTCACAGCTGAGTTGGACTACACTTGAATGCGTCTGTTATAGCACTTTACTATCAAAAAAGGCTATTTTATTGTCCTGATATAAAAAGGGTGCCTGTACATCCCAGTTTGGTTGGGATAGTCCCAGATTTCACAGGCCAGTCCAGGCTGGCTGGTGAAAATTAAAACGAACATCCTGGCTGGTGGGCGCAGGATGGGGAGACAGAACTGCACCAGCTGTGAAACAGGAAGCTCTAGCAGACAGCAAAACTGCCCAAAAATAGGCTAGTTTGATTAGTGGAATAAGTGTTAAAAAGTGGAGATGATTGTTAACACCTGTAAGGTAAAAAGCAATGGGTCACTGACTCCTTTAGCTGCCTGAACAGTATAATACCAAAGCTGCACCATGCTGCCCAACCCCTGCCTGCACCGAATTGAGGCAGTGTCCAGGATTTCACACTGCCCCATATGGTCACCCTATGTATACACTTCTTTAGCTCTAAATTAGCATACACTACACATATTTTATTCCGCTTTCAAAAAATGGCTGTCAAAGTGCTTAATAGAGGCCCAAATTTTCATCAGGTGACATCAGCAGCTGCACCCAGTTACCAGACAGATTCTCTACAGATGCATGTGCAGCAGAGCAATCGAGTGTGCAAACGACTAGGGAGTGTAAACACACCCATCTGCAAACACTGTAGAGGCAGTCTGAGAGGAAGATTTTGACTTTCAACTTGAAAAAGCTTCAGGTAAAATTCATCCCCTTAGTTTAAAATTAAAGAGAGAGAAGAAACATTTATTATTCTCTTGATGTGAGCATGGTATTCCCATAGGCACCAGATATCAAGCAGCCGATGAGGAAGAGTGACACTCCTTTAAATCATGCGTAACGCAGAATTCAAATCAGACAGGGCATGTAATTAATGCAAAGCACTGGACTATGACATGCATATATCATGTCTGTATTGATGCTCTCTTCAAACTTATTCCATGGAAACAGAAAGAAAACCTCAGTGCCCTCCTTCCTCTGTTCAAAAACCCTCTGTGTAAAGCCTGTGTGTGACTTACAGCCAGAGTGAAGATGATTAAAATGCCTGGGTTTCTGGAGGTCTGGAGTAACAAGCAGGATGAATTTTAGTTTCTCCTGTCTAGTCATAACATGAAAAAACCCCATTTAGGGTTTTCACCCCGGGGGAGCGAGCTTGAAAAATGAACAACACAAAGACTAGCCGTTACCTTTTGTGGATCTTCATCGGCGTTCTGTTCTATATCATCGCCAAATGAAAGCTTTTCATCAGCAACAGCGCAGTAGTGTCGGGTCCATTTCTGGAAAGCAAGACAGGTGTTAGCACTGTTAACAGGATGACGAGACAAAATTGCTAAACCCAAGCGCAGAGCACCTCTCTTCTACACATGCACACACGCATCAAAACAGCAACGACCAAACATTGCTACCTCTGCCTACTAAAAATGCTCCTTTAATATTTAAATCCCTGTGGCGTCCGAGATTTAACAAGCTGCAGCGGGCATCAAAGAAATTATACCTGTTCAATGCTATCCCACATGTAAAGTTCTCCTTGTTGCTTTTTCTCCTCCTTTTTGTCTTCCGGGTTCACATCTACGTCTCCCTTAGGTCCCAGCTTTTTGTGCTAAAAAAAAGTTTAAATAAATATGATAGATTCTAATCCTATTTCCTGAGCACATCCCAGCAATATCATAAGAGTCAACTCTCCACTTGACTTCTGTTTGGTATCTTGTATGCAGAGGTTACATGTGGATTTAAGCAGGAGGTGCAGCTTTCTATTCTGAATGCCAATCTCATCTGAGTGCTCCTCTAATTACCTGACAGCAGGCACTAATCAAGGAGAAAGAGAAACAACTCCGAGGATGAAAGCCTACCATTCATTAGAGGACACCTATTGTTAAATGACCTTTGTGTGACAAGAAAGGAAGGAGAATAAAGGGGGAGAGGTTGTCAGACCTCTGGCTGAAGAGAAAAAAGAACACAGCTAAAAGGAAACTAATTAAGAGGAGTGGAAATCTCTTATCCCAAGAAAAGGACCACAAAAAAGAAATGGAGGTGATTATTTCGCATCAAATGGAGCCAAATTCTGCTTTCTCCTCCCACAAACGTATAACTCTTCCCTGGGATAGAAGTACTCAAGTTCTATTGTGCAAAGAGCAATTGCCATGGCACAATGACTGGGTCGAAAGGTATCACATAGTGGGAGTACAAGGGCAATGCTGGTGCTTGTAGCAAGGAGAAGATGATTCTTATATTACTGATACACACACCAAGACTTTCAGTTTGTTCAGGATGCCAAGCTGCTATGTGCAAAGTACACGTCAACACCCTTGAGAAGAGTAACTCCAGCGATTATCTACAGAATAGAGTCTTCCCTTCTAATGAAAAAGATGCAGAGATTTAGACCATCCCAGAGCAGCATGGAGACATTCACGACAGGGCAGAACAAAGAGAAAACCAAGTGAAGAATAAGTCACTATGACCAGTGCCACAGGGCAGGTTAATACAGGTGAAATGGCAGCAGCCCAGATATTTTATGGGGGGAGTATAGGAAAGAAGAATTAGCTCAGGGGTTGGCACCCCCAGCACACGTGCCAGACCACTGTCCTCACGTACACACTGCTCTCACGTGCCATGGGCACATTGTTCTCACGTGCTTTGGGCACACCTCAGCAGGGCCAGGCTCTGGGCAGCTGCCACTACCACTCATGGAGCCCGGGAGCAGTGCAGAGGCTGCAAACCCTGCTGCAAGCAGCCTGGGCTCCATGGCAGGCAGCAGCTACCCAGAGCCCAGGCCAGATGTGGCAGGCAGTCAGGAGGTGCAACCGGTGCAGCAGGGTCCAGATCTCTGGCGTGGTGGTGGCTGCAGCTACACACACACCTGAGGGCACAAGGTGGGAAAGGGGCCAGGAAAGCACAATCCCGGCCCCTCCCCTGTCCTCTGCCCAGCAGTGCACGTGCACCTGCCACCAGCAACAAGCCACGCCAGGTCTCCGCAGACCATGGTTTGGCTGTTTGCAGCCTGTCCAGTGCCTGCTGTGAGCAGCCCAGGCTCTATGGTGGGTGACAAGGACCTGGCCAAAGCCCAGGCCTGCTAATTAAGCAGCTCCATTTTATGTAGGCAAGTAAACATCTCATGTAGATGTGGCCCCAAAGAGTGACATTAAGGAAGACTTTTAGACTGAAGAAAAGAGGACTGAGAGGGATTTGATAACAGTTTTCAAATCCCTGAAAGGCAATTATAAAGAGGCTGGAGATAGTGTTTCCCTGTGGCTGTAAGGGTCAGGACTAGGAACAATGGCCTTAAACTGCAGGAGAGAAAATGTAGGTTGGAGAACAGAAAAAACTCTCTGACTATGAAGCATTGAAACGGGCTACCTAGAAAAGTTGCAGGATCTCCATCCCTGGAAATTTCAGGAGCAGGCTGAACATGCGCTTGGCTGGGATGCTTTAGGGAGGGGTGATCCTGCCTTGGGCAGGGGGCTGGACTATTTGACCTTATGAGGACCCTTACTATGATCATCCGAGTCTAAGACCCCAAGTTCTCAAAGCTGCTAACAAATCTGCCTATGTGAGTCATACCTTTAGTCTTTGTGTGTGCCAGAGTGCCATTTGCTTTTGCAATGTTCAATGAGCAGCATCTTTTGGAAAATGAAGTCTATAGTCTGTAAAGTGCTTTGGGATCAACTGGAATGGAAGAGGTTATATAAATACTGGCTAATAATATTAATATTATTTTCCATTCAAGAGCATACTTAACATTTTTAAGCAGGATGTAATTGTGCAAAGAGTCTATGATAAGGATCTGTAGCAGCAAACCTTCCTGAAATTGAATGGTGACATTTTAGAAGCTGAAAGGTTTGCTGGGAGACCTTTAGAAAAGAGCTGACATTTCTTCTTGCACTTAAATCAACCACATTAATTACTAAGAAAAATCAAACAGCAAGCAATTTAGTATGTAATTTATCAAAACTCCATAAAATGTTGCCAAGTGCTAGTAACGTGCACTTCGAGCATACAGCCTCTTCCATCCCAAAGGAGCCCAAAATGCTTTATAAACATTAGTTAATTAAACCCAGGTTTTGCTCATTTTATATATGGCAACTACAGACTTGTCCAATGTCACATAAAAGCCAAAGCAGCAGAGCCAGGAAAGGAATCCAGAGTCTTGGTTCCCACAATCCTGTTTAAAGGTACCACAATACATTGTGAATCCTGGACAACGAAACGTGCCTTAATGATAATTTTCTCTTTCAGCTGAGTTGGCGATGGCAGCTGATCTGCACTGGCTTCAATGGGCTTTGTCAGAAGCTGGTCCCCAAATACGTCCTTGAACACTTTGGCCATGTGTCGCTGCTGTTCCACACTGCAATGCTCTTCAATCGAGAGGATCACAGGGAAGCTGGGACAACAAGAACAGAGAGGCAGCATTCAACAACTGTTCCTGAAAAAGGGCTGGGGTGGGGAGGGAAAGCCGGAACAAATGGAGAGAGAGGAATGCATACACCCATAATCACTAGATTACGTGCTCCAAGGAGAGTACAGGCACTCAGGGAAATTGCCAGTGTACTCATTACTTTGTAGTTCGAGGTGTTTATGGCATAGCAGGAGGCTTGGGTGCACCCATGTTTACTTAAACATCTAACGGCTGAGATGATGATACCCATCTGCAACTCGCTGCGTCAGACAGGCTCGGAAAACCCTGCATATCGAGGCATGCCCGTGCTCTTTATCTAGCTCCCCAAATCCCATCCACTTCAGAAGTGTTGCCAAACCAAAAATAAACCACTGCCTTTGCCAGGTTGTAGCTGCTGAGTACAGGCTAAGACTCATACTGCTGTCAACAGGTGCCTGGGGAGGAAGTCTTTCGCTCTGACGGAGGTACTGCAGTCATTGTTCAACCCCCAAGGGGAAACAGTTGGGGATGGATCAATGTCTTCTTCTCTCTATGGCCAGCCAATTACACCACATGGGAACGAAGGCAGGAGGCTTGCAACCCTATCTCCTTCCCAATCAAGAGATAAGAAAAGGCTTATAAAGGTATCTCAGCGCAGAACTGGAAAGGCAAAGCTGGGACACTGCTGTCAATTCAGGTCACCAGAGCCAGAAGCTCACAGACAGGTTTCCCCATCTCCCCATTAAGGAGCTCACCTACACTAGTAAGTTAGTGGCTTTGAGTTTCCATCTCTCTAACACTGCTCAACATTTCCAATAGTTTAAAAATCACGTTATTGAAAACATTTGCTATCACAAGGTTACCTATACAGGCAAGGTCTCATGCAGGGAGATGAAGAGCGT